TTTTTTTGCCTCTCAGAAGAAGCCCAAGGTGAAAGAGACAGTTGAGCAACCTTGAGGAGAGACAGTATCCAGGCAAGGTGAAAACACTGTAAATATTTACTCTGATTTCAGAGGGAGAGAGAAGAGGGTGGGGAAGGAGGCAGAAGGGAGGGAGGATCATCTTTAGCAGCCAGAGGGAGGGATAGGCCAAGGCTGATTCCTTCTGTATGGGGTGGGCTTTTTAAAGTTCCACGGGAAAGGACCACTGTTCTGTTCTTGGCAGGGGCAGAATGGCAAGGGATGTGATGCTCTGAGGGACAGAGGGCACAGAGGGCACAGAGGGCAAGGGAGCCACAGGAGCGGCCTAAAGCCCAGTCTGAGTGGACACAGCAGGAGGCTAGTGTGTGAGCTGGGGATTCCTTGGACGCTCACCCACTAGACCAAACACCTGTTTCAGCTTAGCTCCTGGGTGGGTGGGGGGTTTGCTATAGGATCCCCGGCTCTTCAAGGCCTCAGGCTCCTTGGTTTGGAAGGCAGATCCTCGTTTTCCTGTAGCCCTTTCTTTAGGACAGCATAATGAATTTAGATATTGTTCACATTTGCCGGCTGACTTGAACAGGGAACAAGATAAGACTTCTATTTCTGGGATGGCTTACAGGGGAGGGGGTGGGAAAGCTTGGACCCTGGGCAAAAAGTAGGAAATGGGTGCTGGAGAGGATGGAGAGGACAGCACGGAGCAAGAAGATGAACCCAAGGCAGGCTGGCAACATTACAGACCCAGGTCAAGATAAGTCAAAAGGCACCTCAGCACAGGAGGAGGGGGTGACCACAAGGGCACACACAAGGGGATCTGTTAGAAGTGGGAGCCAACTGGATTCATGATATGGTTGCATAATATATATTATTAAGTATTTTTATACGTAAATTACCATACATTTCAGAACTTTCATGAACTCTGTGACTTCGTTTCAGTCAGCATACACAGATATGTTCTGAAATTCTGGATTTTTCTGATATGTCAAGGAAGTCCTGCTTGGTGGAAGGCCAGTAGCAGGGATCAGGGGGTGAGAAAACTACCCAGCTGCATGCAGCATAGGGCCTGACACACAGCAGGTGTGAAAATGTTTGTGGAAAGAGAGAAAGGAAGGAAGGAAGGAAGGAAGGAAGGAAGGAAGGAAGGAAGGAAGAAGGGAGGGAGGAAGGAAGGGAGGAAGGAAAAGGAGGATAGCTGAAGGAGGGAGGAGAAGATAAGGGGAAGGAAGGAAGAGGAGAAAGGAGAAGGAAGAGTAAAATAAGGACACGAAATCTCAGGCCTCCGTAAGTGACTCTTTCAACAAGGTCTCCCCTGTCCACTGTACCCAGAAAGGCTCTGACCGTACGCCCTGGAGGTTAAGGGGTACCCTATTTCAGCCCAGGTCAGAAGAGAAATGAACAACCCCCCCCCCCTTGGTCCTCCCCTTTCCTGATAGGAATCTGGCAATTCACTAGCCGGATGCCCTAAAAGTGCACTAAAGCTATCAGACCTTTCCCTTCCTCTGTGAGTGAAGGAGGGCACCCACCTGCCTTGCCTTCTCACACCTGCCTTCTGGACACCTCCAACACTTTTCTCAGGGCAGTGGTCCTCCCGGTCTTCAGCTGCACCTCTGCGCCTTAACCCTAAACACCCTGAGGTGACCCACGTCCGTCGTGCCATTTGTTCTGGAGCTCAGTGGCTTCAGGATGTTCCCCTTCCTGAGTATTCATTCTCTTCTCAGCACATTTATGTTTTGTCCGGATGTTTTGTATAGGCCGTCATAGGGTATTGGAAAGCAATGACGTTCCCCAGTAAGCTCCTGGCAGGGAGAGGGAGGGGACCAGGCACTGCTGAGTGTTGGTGGCTGAGGTCTTGAAGGGGAAACCCGGGCTCAAGGAAACTGCGTGGAACATCCAGGAGGGAGATCATCAGCTTATGGATAAATGAGGGTCTGTTGCACTTGGCAGCTGGAACGCAGGACACTGGTAGGGAGGGAGGGACACAAAGCTGCCTTACCTTCCAAAGCCAGGGGCTGTCTGTGCTGGGATCCACCCGGGCAGTCCAGGCCTGGCGACCTGACTGTGATAGCGGCACAAAGCAGAGAGCCAGGCCCCTGTCTGGTGCTGTCTCCCAGCCTCCCAGGGCCGAGGCTTACCTTTTGTGCCCTGCGTTTATCAGCTCTCTGATTCTGGTGGTAAATCCGGCTGAAGTTGGAAACAATCACAGGAACCGGCAGGGCAATGACCAGAACACCACTCAGGGAGCAGATGGAACCAAAAATCTTCCCTGCAATTGTCTTGGGCACCATATCTCCATATCTGAGAGAGAGAGAGAGACAGAGACAGAGACAGAGAGAGAGAGAGAGAAACAGCTGTGAGGAAGAGGGGTCACTTGGGAAACAAGCCAGATATCCCTGCCCATCACTCACCTATCCATCCATCCATCCATCCATCCACCCACCCATCCATTCATTCAACAATTGTTTAAAGTGCCTACTATGTGGCTGCTATGACCTGGCACTGAACAAAAACAGACAAGATCCCTGTGTTCCCAGAGCCAACAACCTACAAGCAGAAGACCATGAACAAGTGAGTGAACACATAAAAACACTGACTTGTCTTTATTTCTAGGAGGAGAATAGAGACAGGTGCTGTTCCAGGTGTGAGGAGCGTGGTCAGGAAAGGCCTCTCTGAGGAGCTGACATTTCAGCTGAGATCTGAAGGTAAAGGATCCCGGTCAGGGGACACACTTGGGGAAGAGTGTGCCAGGCAGAGGGAACAGAAAGTCAGAGGCCCTGAGGCAAGAGGGAGCGTGGCCTGCTGCGGGAATGATTACAGACCCGCGGGTGGTGGGGCGGGCGCGGAGGGTGGTTGTACAAAAGGAGGTGGAGGTCACCACACGGAGTATGGATTTTGTCCCAAATGCAGCGAGCAGCCATGGGTGAGTATTAGGAAGGAAAGCAGCACCATCTCACGTATGTCTATCAAAATAACACGTAAGAAAACCGCCCTCTCCTCGTGGAGATTCACCACGCACAAAGCACTCCTGCACACTTACCTCACATGAGCTCCGCGAACCCTGTGAGCTTGGAGTCCTTGGCCCCATTGTGCAGATACAGGAAGTCGGGCTCACCGGCAGATGGACTGCCCACGCTGGGGGACGGCTGGCATTAAAACCCACTCCTATGGCTTTCGTCTCTTTCCCACCAACCACACTGTCTTGGAGGGCAACCGTGAGCTCCAAAACCCAGCCCCGGAAGCCGCGGAGCCACTTTGGGACAGTGCTGGTGCCTCTCAGAGCTCAGAGGACCTCTCATAAGTACTTCACACCCTGGTGGCTGCCCCCGGGGACCGGCTTGGCCTGGCTCCCGCGCATCCCTGGGCAGGCAGGCCAGAGCCTCTCTCCTCCAATCAATAAGGTACTCTCCACAGTGGTTAAGTGTGTAGCCTCTTCTTTATTGAGATAAATTAAAGGCCTTATTAAGCAAAGAGCTCTGATGTCTCCTTTGGCCAAAGCCAACGACACCATCTCCCTGCTCCCCTGCCCTCTCCGAGTTTGAAGGGTGACCAGAATTGATGCCACTGAAATTGTGGGGCTCAAAGTCACCTGTCCTGAGGGGACCCAGGTGTCCGGAGGATGCAGAGAGGATGTGGAAGGGGATAGGGTGAACAGTTTCAGAAGTGTGAGGTCCTCATCTCCTAAGCACCCAGGGGCTTTTGGGAGGCGATGCCAGCCATTGACAGACATTTGGTGAGTGAATACGTGACCTCACAGAAGCCCCTCAACACCCTCTGAATTAGGTTCCTCTTTGGAGAAGGCACTTCCTTCTCCTTCCTTCCTTCTCCTTCAGTGTCTCGCCCTTTGCCCTGCCTCAAGCTGCCTCTGTGGTCTCTGTTGCTGCGAAACTCTAAAAGCACAGCTGATTGTCTCACGTTCAAATAATCCCAACGATGAAGAAAAGGGGGTTGCCCGTAGAGGCCAATCATGTTACTGGGGCTTTCCGGCCTGTGACGGAGAGGTGCACATCGAGCTCATGACCATGGGTGGAAATGAAGCATGGCAGGAGTATGGAAGCACAGCGTCAGAAAGGCTACATTTTCGGGTGACTGAGGTGGTGAAAAATGCTCAGGACACAGAAAGGTGGTTTTATCCACTGGAAGAGAGAACAAGGAGCAGAGCTTTCTGCCTGCTGCTGGCGCAGATGGTCCACTGGTAACAGATGACAGAACCAAGCTCCCATGCGCTCTCTGCCTTTCCCACCCAGGAGACCAGGCTTCCTCTGAGAAAGGCCGGGACAAATGTGGGGAAGAAGGATGAGGAGCTTGAGGCAGGGGAGGGGAGAGCAGGCGAGGGCCCAGCTGTCTTCAGTGGAGGCACATCACAGGCGCACCTGGATCGCACCCCAGGGGACAGGAGGGATGTTTAGATGGAGTTGCAGAACACAGCCCATGACGGTCGAGAAACCATGGCGCCGCACAGAAATACCAAGAGACTGGAGGCCAAAAACAGCTGTATTGATATTTCTGAAGAGGAGGCAAGGAAGTCCGAGAAACCACAGACCAACAGGCTTGGCATCCATCAATTCTGCCACGAAACTGCTGGCAGAATTTGAGAGCAGATATTAAGTGGACAGCTTGCGAACGCTTGGAAAATTAGCTGTATTGCTCACTAAGCATGCAACTTGCCAAATTAACCTTATTTCTTGTTTTGAGAGGGTTAACTGGCTGGCGAATCAGGAGGCCGCCGGGTTGTGATTTTAGCAAGGTGTGCTCTCGTCCCAGTTCTTCATACCCTTGACAAGCTGGAGGAACGGGTGTGGATAGCAGTGTGGTCGGTAGGGGTTGAACAAACACCTCCAGTCTTCTGACCCTTCCCAAAGATTGTCCTATGCCAGCAAGGGAAGTTCACGGCTTTCGTGTTACAAGGGTCTCCTTTAGTGAAAGGGTAAATAAGTCAATGAAATAAAGAATGAATCTAAAGCCAGGTCTCCAGTGGTGTGTTCCAGAATGTTTCAACAACTTATATAAAGCCAGAGGGAGGCAGCATGGCCTAATGATTGAGAGAGGAGACCGGAGACAGGTCCCAGGTTGATCCCCAGCCCCGCATTACTTACTGGTTAAGTGACCTTGGGAAAGTTATTTAAGCGGAGCCTCTACCAATATAAAAGAGGTTTTATATATCTAACTTACAGGCTTGTTGTAATAATTAATCAGATGATTCAGGAGAAGCACTTAATGTTGTCTCTGGGTAAATGTAAATTCTCTATAAATAGCCAGTGTGCTGGGCACCTATTGTTTTGTCTGTTAATAGCCTACCCATTTAGGAACTGTGGGCCCCCCCCCCATTGTTATGACAGAACCTCCGTCCAGAGGAGCTGCCGTATTCTTACAAACTTTCCCCTACACCCCTGCTGCCACTAGGCGCAGTTAACAAGTTTGGAAGGAGGCATCTGACTCAAGCTGGGCCAATGAGCTCCTTTCCTGGATTCATTTTTTTTAATAGCCTTATTAACATATAACTTATATATCATATGATTCATCCATTTAAATCATACAATTCAGGGGCGCCTGGGTGGCTCAGTTGGTTGAGCGTCCGACTTCAGCTCGGGTCTTGATCTCATGGTTCATGGGTTTGAGCCCCGCGTCGGGGTCTGTGCTGACAGCTCGGAGTCTGGAGCCTGCTTCAGATTCTGTGTCTCCCTCTCTCTCTGCCCCTCCCCTGCTCATGCTCTCTCTCTCTCAAAGATAAATAAACATTAAAAAAAATTTTAAAAATCATACGATTCAATATGCTTTAGTGTATGTATGGAGTTGTGCTGCCATCCCAGAGTCTAATTTTAGAACATTTTCATCACCCCCGTCCCAAACCTCACACCCATAGTAGTAGGTGACCATTCCACACCTCTCCCCCCTCAGCCCTAGTCAACCCCTAAACTACTTTAGACACTTACTGTGTCTACGGGTTTCCTTATTTTGGACATTTCATATAGATGGAATCATACAATACATGGCCTTTCTCGTCTGCCTTCCTTCACTTAGCGTGATGTGCTAAGGTTTCACAGTTTATCCTTGCTGTAGCAGGTGTCACTTCTTTATCCCTTTTTATTGTCAAGAAACATCCTCTTGTACGGATGTCCCACATTTTGCTTTTTCGTTCATCAGTGGGTAGACCTTTGGGTTGTTTCCACTTCTAGGCTACGATGAATAAATGAATAAATTCTGTTCTGCAGGTTAGCACACAAGTTTTGAGGAGTCACGTGGTAACTCCACGTTTAACAGTGAGGGGGCCTGCCAAACTGTTCTCTGAAGTGGCCGCACCCTTGCATTCCCAGCAGCACTAAACTGGGGCTCCCCTTTCGCCACATGTTCACCACCACTTGTAACTGTCTTTTGCGGCTCGCCGTCCCAGTGGGTGTGAAGTGTATTCCCCCGGCTGGCTAATGATACCGGCGACTTTCTCCCTTCCCCGGATATTTGCCTTTGAGATGAGGCCAATCTCTTCAAGGAGGTTGACGCTGCAACAAGTAAAACCCTGGAGCCGCTTTCTGCCACGGGAAGAAGCCAGGCTGTAGTCAGAGAGGGAGCAGGCTGACGCATAGGTAGAGGCGAGAGGAGGAAAGGGGAGGGTGATGGAGACTGAGTTCCTGCCCTAATTCTGGGGACCGGCTTCACTCTCACCATTCCTATGGCTTCACTGTTCAATCCTTTGGACTCTGCACATCAACAAATCAGCATTTTTGTTTTAACCTTCTTCCACTTGGATCCCATGATAATGATGATGATGATGGTGGTGTTGATAAGGGTACTGCTGATTATTCTTATTAAAAAACATTTTTTTTTACATTTATTTATTTTTGAGAAACAGAGTGAGACAAAGCATGAGCAGGGGAGGGGCAGAGAGAGAAGGAGAAACAGAATCTGAAGCAGGCTCCAGGCTCTGAGCGAGCGGTCAGCCCAGAACCCGATGTGGGGCTCGAACCCACAAACTGTGAGATCATCACCTGAGCCAAAGTCGGACGCTCAACCAACTGAGCCACCCAGGTGCCCCTGGTTATTATTATTTTTAAATTAATTTTCTTTATTGAAGTAGGGCTGACGTACAATATCCTATTCACTTCAGGCATGCATCATAGAGATTCGATATTTTTATACATCACGCAATGATGCCCATGATAAGTGTAGTTACCATCTGTCACCGTACAAAGTTATTACAACCTTATTGACTATTCTCCACGCTGTGCATTACATCCCGTGACTTATTTATTCCATAGATGGAAGTTTGTGCTTCTTCTTTTTTTTAAGTTTATTTATTTTGAGAG